GGGGGCAGGAAGGAGAACAGGGCAATAGCCACAAAGTACAGAAAATAAAGAAAACCTTGTGCCCAGGTGTGTTGATTCAGCACAGCCTGGGTTTTGTAGGCAGGGAAGGCTCAGCTGTAGCAGAAGAGGCTGAGCAGATAACTTTTGTGGGTGCCTGGCATTTGGCCATGTTAAACCATGACACCAGGCAGACACAGGCATGGCATCAGGATATGAGCAGTGGCATCCTGCTTTTCCCTCCTTCCCAGACTGCTCTCTGTGCACCAGGCATGCAGCACTTCTGCAAGACTTCACTTCTGGAGGCTCTGTGGCTTCAGCTCCTTAATGAGCTGGCTCCATCCATTTTTGATAAAAGCAAAGTTAGGACTGGGGAGATGTCCCTCACTTATTTAATGATGTGCAATCATATCTCTGTCTCCTAATACTTGGGGGTTTTGTTGATTTTTGGTTTTGTTTTTTAAATCTGACTTTAAAAGTGCCTTTCAGCAATTGTTAACATTAACATGGATTGCTGAATTTAAGTGTTTTTTAATAAGCTTAAGGTCAAAACTATATAAGGTAGCTCAGTGTCTTAGGTATGTATCTAAAATAACTAAAAAAAAAAAAAAATTCTTAAGTTCTGGTGATATCAGTTCTTATGAAAACTTCCTTTGTCTTTCACCCGGCTTTAATTTTGCTGATTGTGGTTCCCTCTCCCAGTCATCTCTGTTTTTATAACACGAGATAAAAATACGTTCTTTATAGATTAATGAAAGCCACGAACATGAGGTGCTGTTAGAGCTTTACAAATTTATTTTAAAAAATAGTATTGTCATTTGGCAAATAAGTGTTGTCTGCTAAGAGCTGCTCTTTTGTGTGAGCCGCATGTAGCATTGCAGTTAATAACATTTACTGTTATCAGCTGCTCGATGACTTTATCTCCTCTACAAAAGCCTGTTTGCAGAGAGGAGGCAGCCTTGCTCGAGTGCTAGATTGTTAAATAACTTCAGGTTGCCAAAACTAAATGAACTTTTCAGCTGGTAATGATGTGCAAATTGCTCTCAAAAATGTATGTGCACTGGAGGAATGCTCACAAGCGCAGGGTTGTGCCTGGTTACAAACGTTTCTTTGCCTTTGTCCTTAACCCAGCAGTGACACCATTAGAATGACTATATCTGTATGTATAATAACAGAGTTATTTTGTGTTATTAACAGCTGAATCAATAGCTGAATCAACAGTTACCCAATAGCTGTTTTAATTAATGTAATTAACCAAACCTATATTTAAGCGATTTTTAAGTTATTAGCTACTATGTTAAATTGCCATTTAAGCTATATTGTGGCCCTCTAATGCAGCTCTGGGTAAGAGGAGTGGCTGTGGCTGTGCTGCCACAGTGTCCCCCTGGGTGTGACTGTAGTGTCTGGAAAGGTGGGTTTGCAAATGGGCCTTTTTTAAACTACTGGTGCCAAAAGGGGAGACACAGGAATTAAACTCTGACATGTCAATTAAGCAGTATTTTTTAAATTCATTTTTTCTTCTCTTGAGAAGTACTTTTCAGTAATGTGGCAGACATGGGGAGCTGCCTTTGGGTGAGGGGGTCTCAGAGCAAGCTTTGGATGAGGAGGGGACTGGGTGCAGGGTGTTCAGGAAGGTGCCTGGCTTTCCCAAGGCTGCATTTTCTCTCCGGGTGCTGCTGCAGCCCAGAGGAAGCCCAGCTGGGTTTCCTGTGCAGAGCTTGCTCCCCTGCCCGGGAGTGTCTCACCTTGAGTTTCTTAGCCTGGTTGGGAATTTAGTACAAAGAGCCATTCTTGTGAATCATGTTTTCTTTGCAATTTTGCATTCCAGCTCAACAATTCATTCCTCTTTTTTTTTTTTTTTTTCCCTAATGGCAAGGACTTTATTTGAGTTCACATAACTTTGGAAAAATTGTTAGTTCAGGTTCTTCTGGGGGCCTTGAATGTTTCAATTCCAATCCATTGGGGGCTGTTTTAAAAATACAACTCTTGGTACACCTAATATGCATTAGAATTAGTGGTGTGTTCTGAGAAAATTAGTGGTATGTTCTGAGAAACAGTTAATATCCCTGAATTTTAAAGTTTTTCAAAGGTAAATATTTAAAGGTGTGAAGGAAAGGCTTTTTCTGTAGCCAAGTTAAAGCTAATGATGTGTCTTCAGAGTATTCATCTTCCCATCTCTTGCATTATCAGACTGTTCTCAGCAGTATTTCTATGATCTCAAATGAAAACAGCATTTTGAAAGTATGGTTTGAACATTTGAATGTGCTGTGGAGTGTTTTGTGCTGGCATGGCAACATGCTCAGGTTGAGCCAGTCCTTTCCCCTCTGCAAGGACTGAGTTACTCTGGCACTTTGATTCGTGCTTTGTGAAATACGTAGTGAAAATGTGAGATGTGGTGGAAAGGGAGTGCCAGCATTAAGGTACACACCAAGTGGTTTATAATAGTTCTGTCAAGTTAGGCTGCCTGAGAATTGCCAGGCTTTAATTTTAAGAGTTCTACCTTTGTCCCATAAACTGTTTCAAAACTAAGATTATTTCTTTTTCTGAATTAATTTTTATTCATTTAGGACTATGCACAGCTACAAACACTTTTAACTTAAAATGCTGTTATTACAATTTTTTCTCAAGTTCTTACAGGCAGCACCCCAGAAAACATAATTTTTATTTAGTATTGTAGGACTAACCTGTTCTGAATTTGTTGTAGGTTTGAACTGCTGTTGGGTAGAATAAAAAGAATATAGTTCAATTTTCAAGTTGCAAAAACACATTTAGTATGTGCAATTTAGCAGCTGTTGCAAACACTTGAGGGCATTTTCTTCAGCATTTGAAAATTCCCTGTAGAAGTGAGACAGGAGACATTCATTTAGCATTTCAAGCTTGAAAAATAATTTAACCTTTCCTTAAATTGTGTTTTGAAGTTTGGGATTAACACTGTGCCTGGCTGCACAGATGGTTACATTTTACATATTCCTTTGTCTAGGAAAAAAAAAAGAGACCACATGGTCAGTTAATGGCTGTAAACACTCCCCGTGCTCATTTTGTATCTTTCTAATGGGACCTTAGAGATTGTGGGAAGATACTCAGAAAATTGTTGTTTATGGTGTAAGGCTTGTAAGATGTGTCGTATTCTGTGTCCCAGAACTCATGAGCTATTTTTGTTCCTGCTTATTAATCCTGGTTAATGAATTTCACAGCTTTTTCCCTTAAGATTTAACATCCATAATTCTGCTGTGGAAAAAATGAAAACTAAGATCACCTGTGCAGAGAAAATGTTGCTCTATTAATGGAATGTGAGGGCTCTTATTGTGTAATTTTTAATAGGTAAAATTATCAATGAAGTGTATTGTCAAGAAGTAGACTCCATATCAAGTCACTGAAGTGGTTATAAGCTAAAAAACCTTTCAGTCTTTCAGAATGCTTTCTAAGCTTTTTTTGCAGCCTTTGGGGAAATATCACAGTGAACTGTGGGTGACACAAATCAAATGTGATGTTGGGATAAATGATGGAAAATCCATTAAGTTGGTGGTGTGTCACCAGAGCAGACAATTTTAGCATATAAATCCAGTCCTTAACTGGGTATTTTGTGCTTTGTAATGATTTTTGTTCCAAGCAGTTTTAAAAGTATTAGCTAACAGATTGATGGATTAACCCAGAATTATAGAATAAAGTTATGGAATGGTCCCTAAAAGGGACCTTAAAGGTCATTGGTTCCACCCCCCTGCCATGGGGGGACACTTTCCTGTAGGCAGTGTGTGTAAATCTGCACATGGCTCATACAACAGATCTGGATAAAACCACTGAGTGCTGTACAGTGTTGAGCACTTGTAAGAAATCTGTCAAGTTTATAAAATGTTATCATTGCAATATAGGCACAATACTTCTTTCCCCTCCATTTGAAAGTGCTAGTAAGATTTTTAAGGTTACTGCTCTTTTATCATGTAAAGAAGAAAAGTTTCCTGTAATCTTTTAAGTTCTTACCCATTTAAGCCAGCACGTGCACAAAATCCATCTGGTTGGAATTCTTAACGATAGCAGTAACTGGTACAGGACTTCACAGCTTTATTCCAGCTCCTGTGGCAGAAGGATTTCCATTGCCAAAACTGCTGTCACAGAGATGATTCTTGCTACTATGAGGTGGAAATTTTATGATGTTCCTGCAATTCTGTGCTAGCTTTGCAGGCCAGGCAGGATGGGATATAGGACTGAGATGGTTTGAGATGCTGGGGATCAGAGTTTGGGTCTCCAGGCTATCAGCGAGGCGTTTCTGGCAGGTACTTAATTCACTTTGATTAAATTAAACTTAAAACATCTGAAGATGTTGTTTATATATTTTGGGGGTGTTTGTGTGCATACATATGGGAACACACACTCTGCCTTCCAGTCAGCCAAATCCTCCTCCACTGATTTATTCACAGAGGAAAAGGTTATGTTTCCTCTAGATTTTGGAGGGTGTTTTGTTTAGTTTTTTCTTCCAAAGGACTTCCTAGAAAGAAAGGCTAAGAGAGTGTCGCAGGAAAAGCACTTTTGGCTGAGAAGTTTGGTTACCCCTAAGTGCCATTTCCAGTTCCTAAGATGCAGAAGGAGCTGGGATGTAAAGGTCAGAAGTTGCCAGTGTAGTTCATGTTAACACAAAATGATGAATGTTGTGTTATAAACACAGTAAAAACTCCCTGTCTTGTTTGAGATCTGGAAATGTAGTAACTTCTTGTACTTGGTAGAGCAGCCTGAGGAGTGGTTTGGCATTATTGATTTAAACCTCACAGATAAAGAAGCTCAGTGTGAAACTTTGCAGCCCTTGACTACGGTGAAATGTAGAAAATTCTGCCTTGACTTCTACTGATTATCTTAATTGCCTCAAGATACAAAGGTTTTCCCAATACCATTGCTATCTTTGTGACTGACAACAGAATACAGAATCTCTGTTAATAAACAAAACATTGTCTGTAAATGGAGATGCTGAAAAATTAACTCTTTGTTTTCTTTTCTTTCTCCTGTTTTTGCAGCGGAACCCCTGCCTTTAATGGACTTGTGCCGAAGATCAATTCGTTTTGCTCTTGGCAGAGACCGCCTGCATGACATAGAAATTCTACCTTTGCCTCTGTCTCTGAAAAATTATTTACAGTACCAATAAGAAATCTAGAACCCTCTGGCCTCACATTGGACTTCATCAATGCAAATGGCAGAAAATTGTTTACAGCAAAATATAAATCTTTGTGATGGACACTGAAGTGTTATTTAATTTTTAATATATGTATTTTTTTCTGAACCAGTGAAAGCAGATCACTGTGGGGGACTACTAAAGAATGTGAAAACATTGATTTGATTGAGGTTCATGTGTTACCTGTTGCCTTTTGTGTTTACAGTCCTGAAGGCTATAATTCTCATCTCTCATACACTAATTGGTTTTTCTTTGTTGCTTCTGGTAAATGCCAATAGAAAATCTGACCTGCAAGATTCAGTGTCCTGCAGGCAGACCATTTTTCAATATTATGATTTTCATTTTTTGTTCTCTCTCCTACACTTTACTCCAGTAAAAAAAAAAAAAAATAGCAAAGGAAAAGTCTTGACAGTAACTCCTGAAAAATATTTTAACCTTGGTATGCTGAGTTGTTGAGAGTTCTGCATGTTCAGTGCTCAACCTAATTAGGCCTCTAATATCTAAAAGCTCTAATGTTTAAAAAAAGCAGATTATTGTCTAAAAGAAGAGAATGTGGTTTTAAAACATGAGAGGAAACAAATGGTTTATGTGTCAGATCAGTTTCTGGACTTGTTAACAGTAAGGTGCAGTTCATTGTTTTCAAGACCAAATCTAGTCCCTCCAAAGTTCTGCAGTTTATAACAAAGTGTTCATTGTCCCAAGAATTTAGGATATTCATATTTTAGGAAGCTTGTCACTTTTTTTTTTAAACAAATTTATAATTTTTATGTGGTATGAACTCTAAGTACTTTGTTTTCTTTTTAATGTATGTGTGGTTATAATGTTTATTTATCTGTTTAGCGTCTGGAGTTCTCATTTAATTGTTTCCCACCTTGGGGTGACTGATTCTGGTTTTTTCCCCAGCTCCATCTCAAATGTATCAGTTTATCAGGCTCATCCTTTTTTTTTTTTAAGATGCTGCTTTCTGTTTGTGTTTCTTACATGTTTCAAGTTATCTGCCTGAATCAGTAATCTAGTTTTTAAACTGGAAGTTGTTGTTAGGGCAGAATGTCAAATGTTTAGACTGAGCTGCCTTCAGCATATTTTAATGTGAATTTACTGATGAATGAGGAGAAAATTTCTAATAAAGTCTACTGTCCAAAGTAAAACTCCCATCTCCTTTGATGAAGTGCTAAAACTGCTCTTGGCCCAGAGCTGAAGTTCAGTTCCTTGTGCAGCTTTGCAAATGTTTCTGTTTGGCTCTTCTGTGGGATTGCTGCTGTAGGCTCCTGTGTGAGAGACATGGCAGGCGGTGACCTGTCCCATTCTGGATTTATCCCACTCACCCTGAGTATGGACATGCTCTTGCTTTCCACACCATCCTGGTCAGATTCCTCTGAACAAAGCCTCACTTCTGTGCCAAGCTGTGCTTTGGGACTTGGTGCTTTTGAGGCAGGTTGGAGGCTGACTGCTGTGCACTGATGATCCAGGCAAAAGCACTGCCCCACAGATGGCTGCCCTGCTCTCAGTCATCCCAGGAACAGAATTACAGTTCCAGCTGGACAGGAGAAATGTGAGATACAAAAACACAAGCAAGAGTGGAAGCAACAAGGACAAGGTAACACAGGGATGTCAAAAGTTAAATAACTAATATTTGATTGTCTGGGTTTAACTGTAAGCTTCAGCATGGAATTATTTTGGACTTGATTTCACTTAAGGTGAGAGGTACATACTGCATTCCTTCCCTTAATCTTACAAAGGGGAAGAAACTACAGCAGTGATCCACATTTCTTACTTTTCCTGATTGCTATATTTCATACAAACCTTTTGTCTCAGTAGGTACATTGGAAGAAGGAGCTATAAAAGTACAATACTCACACAAAAGGCAGAACAAAGGTGTGTCAAGTAATCTGTCATAAGCAAGTAGCTGTTCAGGAATGGCAGTTCTGGTAGCACCAAGGTCCATGTTAGGTAAGCATTCCCTAAAATTAGTGTTCTGCTGTGTGTAACTACAGACTTCATGTTCCTTTGAATAACTGCAGGGACACAACTGTTCTTACACTTGACCCAGACCAACAGCTTTTTAATGTTACAGTAAAGGGGGAATTGATATTGTCAGATAAATTAGTGGTGCCCCTGTATGTTAATTGACCTTGTTGCTTTACAGTTGTTTTGGAATTTTAGTTGATGCCCCTTCTGTGATGATTTCTCTATAGCAAACTTCCTTATTTCAACTTTCAAATATTTTTTCTAGCAGTTTGTGTCTTCTGAGGCATTATAGTTTTACAGGAATGGCTATTTTATTATTTTACTGTTTCCATGTGATTCTGTGGGTGGTAGATACACTCCTTCATATGGTATTAGGGCCATGTTTTTGGTGACCAAAGTCTGTTTGATGCATTTTTCATGGTCTGCAGAAGCCTTGTAATGAGACTGCAGCATGGAGAATATTAATGATACTTTAGGTTCTTCCTAAGCATCCCTGTGCAAGTGGATTCTCTTCCAGGAGAGTTTATAGGAAACGTGGAGTACAGGTAAGGATGGATCAGGCATTGAGGCTAAACAAGTGGTCAGAGAATCTCCTCACAAAGGGTACCAGGAAGAGTCTCCTCTCTGCCAGTGAGCTCCAGCCTGGGTGCTGGGTCCCTCGCTTCTCCAGGCTCCCTTCACTGGAATGCAGATGTTGTTCACTATCTGCTTCAGGAGGGAATTGATTTATAAGGTGGCCACGCATTGGCTTTTGCCCAAATCAGGGGTCAAACACGGTGTTGTTACATTCCTTCAACCAAATCAGTTGAAACCTCTCAGAATCTCTGTCCTGGCCATCTAAATGCAGGAAGATCCCTACTCAGAGGTCCACTCTGGGCAATATCTGACAGTGAGGGTGATCACTTACTATAAAGCTGCACTACTTGGAGATTTGGAGTGAGATTTTCCTTGCCTTCATATTTTCAATTTCCAGCCACTGCCTTTCATCACATGAAAATACAGAAAATCCATGTGATAGGTTTCAGCCTTCACTGTATCCCTGTGCCTGAGCAAAAGGAGTGCAGTTTCTCTAGGCATGATGTGGAAGTGAATTTCAGAATCACGGAATATTCTGTGTTGGAAGGACCCACAAGGATCATTGAGTCTGGCTCTCAAGTGGATGGTCCATAAGGGGATCAAACCCACAGTCTTTTATACCCTGCTCTGACCAGCTGAGCTAATCTCACACCCAGTGTTCCCCTGGCTGGCAAACTGAGGGCAGCAGAAGCTCTGTAATGCAAAACACAGGAGTTTATTGGTAGTATTTGAAGGAAAAGGGCACATGCCTAGGAGCTGCAACCAAATTGCAACCTCTGTGATGGGTGCATGCTAACAAAAGGAGATATTTTACCTGCTCTGCATTTGGTTCTCTATTGTGGCCCCTTCCTATGAATTAGTGATGGTTCAGAATCCTTTCTATTGTAACTGTGATTAAGATCTGTGAGAACATGTATCATAGCTTCTCTTCTTTACTTTCTCCCTGTTCCCATTCTTCAGCCTTCTGCAACTCATGTGAGGTTGGGGAATTGATTGATACCCCTGGATGTGCTGCTCTGGTGATCACAATTCACAGATGCTATAACACACACAGCTTTTACACTTAGTGAAACTGTAATTTTGTAACATCTACATTTGGAGGCAAATTTGAGAAGCTGCTGTGCTTTGATGTAGCAGCTGTCACACATATCCTGCTACTGGGCTGACAGAGTCTGTTCTGCAAAGGCTTTATTTGTGCCTCACATTGAACCACTGGGGATGTGTTGAAATCCCTGCATTCTCACCCAGAGACAATGTAGTACAATCTGTAGGGAAATCATGAAGTTTTATTTTAGGCTTTATTTGTAGTCTTTCTGCTGTCCATGTGTTTATATCAACAGATGAACTCTTGCTTAGGTAGGACCTAACTTTGGAGCAGTTTCTCAATGTTCACTTGAAGCTGGGAAAGCTGTTACAGAGCAGACGTGTACAGATCATTTAAGTGTTTTTGATAGTTATAAAAGAGCAGCAAGCCAGAAACGCTATAAAGTTTCCTTCTCATCTACATTGCACTTGGTATTGTTAAACTATAACCACATGTTCTCCTGTCAGTGGAGCTCAGCACAGCGAGCTCTGTATCAGCTCCAGAGAGCTCATTCAGGTGCAATTCCCACTGACATCAGCGGGAGATCTGCCTGAGTCAGCACTGCTGCCCTTGGTTCCCATGTAAAGATCCCCAAACATTTCCAACACATTGTATTGAGCCATACTTTATTATATGTAAGCAATGTCAAGCAGATGGTTTCTGCAGCAGTTTCTGTAATTTGGCAAAACATGCTGGCAAGTGTAGTTAGGTGAATGCTGTGAGAAAGTTAAATGAAAAAATGTGTCTCCTTGAGGCTGAGAGCAGCATTCAGAGGGGGAGCCAGACTTCTTGGTTCCTTGGTGATGGTTTTCCATTCATAAACCTTTAAAATTTCAGTGGGTTTTATTCTCTATGCTTAAAGGCATGTAGGATCTTTATCCATTCCTGTTTATCTCAAAAGAATGTCTGGTGATCATAAAGTAGAAATCCCTTTGTTTGCTTCTTTCAAAAAGACAACAAAAACCTCCTTCCTCCTTGGGAAATGTTCTCTGTAGACATAGAGCCATGGAAAATATACAACGCACACCAGCCTGGATGCCCCACCAGGTCCTGTTTTTTATTTTTTCTTAGGGTAGCAGCTGTTGCTTCATTGAAGACCTCAGTGTGTTGTGCAGGCATTGTCTAGAATAGAAACATTTGGAAACATCTGCAGCAAAGCTGAACCCTGCTGAAGGTATGTTAAAGCAAATTTAGGTGTACTGTGGCAGGGGCAGAGAACAAAGGATCAGAGCTTAGGAGAATAGTGTTTGCCTTATTTTCTTTTTTTAGCCCCACTATAGAGTACCGGCAAATTCAGAGGGGAAAGGAATAAAGAAAAGTTGTTTATGCTTCCATCACCATCAGGTGTTTGGTGTTGATGTTTAAAGCTTAAGCATCTTCCCCACTAAACCTTTGTTGCACAGCCTTAACATCCCAAGGCTCTACCACTGATTGCTTCAGAAGCCTCTGAATGTGTCTGGGCTCTGCAGTTGTGTGTAATAGCACCCAATTCCACATCTTGTCCTGTTAGACCTTAATTCATTAACTTCAGGGCAAAAAGCACAGCTGCTCTCTCATCATTGGCACTGCTGCAGGAACATGTGGGGGTACCCAAACCAGCTCCATCCTGGGCAGAGAGAGCCCAGCCCTTGGCAGAGCCCAGTGTGGGGCAGCTCCTGTGCCAGGCAGCATCTGCAGCAGTGATGGATGGCTGAGCTCACATGGGGCTGCATTTCACTGGGGAGGCAGCTCTGCAAATCCTGTTTAAAACAGCTGTCAGGATCAGGCACTTGCCGTTTCATTTGTGTAGCTGTGACAATTTGTAAGGTATGTGTAGGCTCTGATCTCTGCAGGTGACAGTAGTTGTAAAAGCAGAGCTCATGTTTTTAGTAACTTTAACATATTAGGGATGCTTACAGTGGAGACAGGGATGTTGGATTTTCATGTACTGTTTCTCTGCCTTTTGAAAGCTACACCACAAAAGGCAGATGCCTTCAGACTTCTAAGGAAAAAGAAACAAAACACATAAATGAGGTGTTATTTTATTTCTGCCAGTCGTCATGTGTGACAAATGCTACTGCCAGTTTCAAATCCCAGTGACAGGCCAACATCACAGAGGCACTTTGCTGAGATCAGGATCTTCTTGGTGGTGCCTGTGTCACTTCCCTCCATATTTATCTATTTTTAAAGAAGAAAAAGGTATTTTACAGAGTTATTCAAATTACAAGCTTAACTTGAAAATGCACTATTCTAATGAAGAAAATCTTAAGACTTTATTAGCAGAGACACAAGAAACTGCTGCACACATACCTGGGAAACTAGTAAATATTTTTAATGGGAAAATGGTTCAGCCTTTTCTCTTTTTACTGAAAAAATCAGTTTGACAAGTGCACTGCTTCTTATGTAGCAAAATGTGAACAGCTGTAAGGCATGGGGCCAGAATTTCAGTATATGCATTTGGAAGTGACTTCTCAAGCATAGTAAAGGTACCTGTGACATTTTTTAGGGGACTGAAG